TTCTGGCTCAGTGTTTGAAAATCCTGAAGACAAATCATTTGACAGGCTCTTTCAACAAACTCCAGAATTTCCTAGTAGCTTTTCAGGACTTTGCCCTTTAAAAGAATAGAGAGCAGAAGGGAAGTTTCCAGAGGGGGAAAACAAAAGGAGATCAAAGGAATTGTACAATAAAGGAGTGTAAAAAGTTATGTTATATCATAAAATAAGAACATGATGTTATGAGAAAGGACCAGTCAGATATCAGAGAGTCTCCAAAGAAAAAAATTAATGGAATAATGTGATTAAGCATATGGAAAATTTAACTGAGTGGAGGAAGGGATAATAGAACATTGGGAAGGGAAGTAGACTGTAGAAAAACAGGCAAATGTGTAAGTAATAATAATCTCCAGGAAAAACTAAAGGCCACATAAGAAGAGTATTCTGACTCATTTCTTGGCTCAACAGTGAAAGATATTTGCATAACCAAAATAATGACATATGTAGTGTCAATTTCACCAAACATTGTGCTATAACTATGTTTGGAAGATAGAGAAGGAAAATGGGAAAGAATGTTGGTACATGAGAGCTAAGTCTTATCTACTATGTTAGGAAGTTGATAGACAATGGCTAAAACTGGCTAAGAATTAGAGAAGAGTTAGCGGTAGATGCTAAAGAACTGGCTAAAAGAGTAATTGCCTCTAAAGAGCAAGACGAGAAGATGGGAAGGCTGCAAAGAATGGGTAAGGGACTGGTGTTTTTTCAAAACAGGTTTTATGAACTTGTGTTACTTTGATTGAAAAAGCTAATTATTGATAAAAAGAACACTGTGAACATTGAGACAGACTTGAAATCAAGGAATAGCAGCAACAAAAAGACAACACAGGCACACAGTAAGCACTCAAAAAATGTCAGCAACTATTACAACAGTGAGCAGAGAAGCCAGAGGACTTTGCAAGATCATTATGTGAACGTGATTGGCCTTTGCTAACACACGGGCAGGGATTTCTCACAAGTCAGTGAGAATACTTAGATTTGCCTCGAGAACTGGGCATTCAGTTAAGTTCCAAAGAAAAACTGAATTTGGGTGAAAATAATAACTTTAGTGTGAAACCTTGCAGATACCGCCACAGCCAAGAGATCAAGTTAACATTCCCAGTGATAGCTTGTGACTATCTCCTCTAAGGTGAAAGTTGTTTCAAATTAAGATTTTTTAAAGTATAAAGAAGAAAAGCCAAAGTCTACCAGTAGATAATGTGCAGACATGCAAGGTGGCTAATAAACATGTGGCTATTAGTGCCCCTAAATATCAAAGAAATGCAACATCTAAAAATTATAAGCTATCACTTTACCCCCGCCAGAGTGGCAAAAAATTAAAGAAGAGGAAAATAACTACTGCTTATCAGACTGTTGGGGGAAAAGTTCACCCCAAATGTCTTCCTTATAAGTGTTTATTAAGTAACAAATGAGATAGCAATCTTTCTGGAGATAACTTTGATCTATTTTTTAAAATAAAATATGCACATATTCTTCCATTCAACTAGCCCCCTCCTTGGAGTCTATCTAATAAAAAAGAAGCAAGATTTAACAACCATACATTTAATGACATTTTGGACAACTAAAACCACAGTTAAAATCTAAAGAAAATGAAAATAAATAAACAAAAAAAAAAAAAAACCCAAAACAACAAATGACCAAGGGCGAAAGTAATAAAAGAAGGAGTTAAATCTGTGTCGGAACACTTGGAGAGCTTTCTAGAAAATATTTTTTCCCTTTTCCCTCTGCTTCTTTGACCTCTATCAAAGGATATGGAACACAAAGTGGTTACCTGGAGTGGGAAGAAGGGGGATGCGGTGAAATGGCATGCAGAAGGGAAAGAAGATATTGCATTAAAAAAAAAAAAACTCCCCAAATAAAAGCAGCATGTGGGGCCTCCCTGCACCACCTCCCTGGTGGTGCAGATGTTGAGCGCTGGGTTACGAAGCTGCCCGCAGCCTCTGTAGCACCAGTTCGATCCCTGGCCACTGGGTGAGGGTCCCACATGGCGTGCAGATCTCTCCTGCCGCCCGCTGCTCCCCTCAGCAGTGTATTTCGTCAGTCTGCCTGTTCTGCTTCCCGCTCTGCCTCTGGTGAATTCTCTCGCCCTCCCGCGCTTCTGACTGTACCCAATGCTTGTATGTATAAATAAAAATAAATAAATAAATAAATAAATAAATGTTTTTTTAAAAAAGCAGCATGCATAAAACAGTCTCATTTATGTTACATGATACATGAGTTTATGCATATTATGTATGCAAAATATTGTCAACAAATGACTTTGTGAACATCTCAGGGTGATGGGATTTCAAGTGATGTTTTAAATTTCTCTCTTACATGTCTATATGTTATTGAAAATATTCCAAAGAGCCTGTGTTCATTATATAAACCAAAACAACAAAAGCTGTTATCATGGTGAAGAGAAAGAAACTTGTCAAGGATCCATCATCCATGAGTCTACCTGATATTACTTTAAAACAAAATTGAAACTGGTCTTATTCTGGAGCAGACCTGTTCCTTTATTTTACTCTGTGGTGAAGGAAGTAGTATTTCTTTTATATATATATTCTAACGCTCCCCTCTCTTACTACGAAGAAGTTTCCTCGGTATTTTGAGAATTGTTAAATAAGTATACATGCTCCATTTCTAAATAGGAAGCATTTTATAGATTTGGTTTTTGTCTGTTTGATCAATTTTGCTGTTTCCCTCACTCAAGAACAGAAAACGAAGACTGCGAGGAATCAAAGTCTCTGCCCAGCTCCAGGTGACTTAGGGTGCTCCCCCCAACCCCCAACCCCCAGGAGCTACAAATAAATTGAATGACAATTCTGAAGCTTCTCAGTCTCCAAGACAGTATCTACCACTTGTTCCAGCTAAGCTTCCAAGCAAAGGCCCCCTCTCACTCTGCTCTTCTCTGGAACAGTCTGCAAGTTCAGGCTACAGGGCCACCACAGCAGAATGCTCCCTGATTAGAGAACCACCATTATTCTCCTCCCACTGCCCAGGGAAAATAAGTGCAGGCCAGTGGGCAAGCTTTCAAGTGTGAGAGTGCTGGCTGCCTCTGGCCTGTCATCAGGACAGTCTGGCTGGGCCTTCTGTGAGCCTGTTTCATCAAAAGCTCTCTGACTAGTGACTTAAGCCAGCAAAACTCCCACAACAGAAACCACCTGGAGAAGAGCCAGGCGGAGGCCTTGACAGCAACATTCTAGGCCCTGGGAGAGATGCTGCAGGTCCAGGGCTGCAGCAGAGTGACTAGTTCCTCCAGTCGCCCACAGCGCTGCCCTGGGGACTTATTTTGCCACTCAATTAAAACAATAGGTCTGTGTGTCTTCAATATAAGCTATTGACTCAGAATCATAAAGGCCGAGAGCAGGAACCAGGGAATCCTAGCATCTAGCTTTGGAAGACAACTCAGAAGACATCTGGTCCTGTCTCCCCACCTAGGTATTTCTTCTGAAGAAGCTAAATGCAGTGAAAGTGTAGCCACAGCATCTTGTGTATGTGGAGACACACCCAAGCTAGCAAACATAAGCAGTGTTTTTTTTTGTTTTTTGGTTTTTTTTGGTGGTTCTAACCACAAATAGTGAAACAGTAAATGAACACCCAAGATGTCACTTTTCCTTGGTCACTACCTGAACTACTCGTCCTCAGAAGTCTCTGGAACTTTTACTCTCTAAAATCTTCATCCTCCATTAGAGGAGGCTTGAGGAGAAAGAGAGGTCTTTGAAAACTCTTTAAAATGACTTCACTACTTCTTTCAAGGGTCCGGTCTTACAGACCACCCCTGAGAGAAACAGGAGAAAATGGGACATTCTTAACTTTCCTGTTTCAGAAATATGGACTATTTTTGTTGATATCCCCCCCCCTCCTTGCCCCAATTTTATTTTAGCTTTAAAATCTAAAAACAAGCAAATAAAAACAGCCTGTTCTGTGAACTGTGTAGAATCAGAGCTAATTTAGTTCCCTCCTTCCTCCCATTGCAGACTGGCCACAGCCTGTGAGCTTTACAAAATAACTTGTCACCCACTCAACTCCCCTTCTCATTCTTAAAGGAAAATATTTATATTATGCCACAGAAAGGGTTTCCATGGCAGTGATGACTATAACACTGTTGCCTTGACGACCACTTTAGTCCATTTTGAGTGATCTGAAATCCCCTCCACAGACAAATAAGGAAAATCTGTCAAAAGTGCTGTTGTGTTGGTGACTCCCCCACCGCTTCTCCCTCTGTCTTCTCCAGCTCATGTCCTATACACTCGCAGGAACTTTCCACATTGCCTCCCCTCCAGGCTTGCCCTTGCCTTTCCCTAATCCACTGTGGAGACACTTGCAAAGAGCTTTGCAAAGGGTTAAGGACTGGCATGCAAAGTCACTCCAAAGATAACAGGAGATGGAGTAAACACATAGATGTCCTTTTTCTGGAGCTCGCTGCCTGCCCCTGGAGACTGGGTGAGCGGTGCTCTCTGTCAGCCTAAAGCAGCACCAACGGGAGGGTTTTGCAGACAAGAAAGACCAGCCCTCCCGAGTGCAGCTCCCATGCACAGCATGCTGGTAAGTCGCCTCTCTGCATCCAGTTCCCTCATCTATAATGATGGAGTTGGGGAAAGAGTTCTAACTCCTACTTTGGAAAAATTGTTACCCCAAGAATGTACCATCCTCCATTTCCCAGAAGCACTAAGACTTTTCTTAGCATGGCTGCTGAGGACCCACACAGGACCTTGGGATTTGAGAAATCCTGGAGAGAGAAGGCACATGCCCGCAGGCTGAGTCAGGGCCTTTTCAACCACAGAGCACAAGGCCGCGCACACGTAGGAAAGCAGCATCGAGTTACTACCTCACCATTGGCATAGTGGGCACAAAACTGTAAATCCCATCTGCAGGGCCACCCTTTTTACTGGAGAAGATGCTCCAGCAAGCTGATTTAATAAATAAAAGAGACTTCTCTGGGAAGCTGTGGCTTTTCTCTTGGTGGAAATATCTTTAAGCAATTTGTGTCCATCTCTGGGGTTTTCTTTGCCTCTTTGAAAAGCAGCTTGAGAAGCTAGTATGCAGGTCTGCTGTCTGTCATTCTTCCTCTCTGCTTCTCTGATTAACTGGAAGAAAGTTTTTCAAGCAATTTTATATTTATTTATATATTTTTATATCATTTTTCATTTTTTTATGAAAAACAAAAACAGAAAATGTTTGCTTTCTTTACTCAGATGTGGTCCCCATAGAAATTCCTCCACCAGTTCACCCGTGCACCATCGCCATAGTTAAGTGCTTTTTTTTAAATGGGGAATAAAGCTGTCTAAATCATCTTTATCAGTTTTGTAAGTAGGTATGGAAGCCACTGTACAAGCATGGCATGGAGACCAGGAGAAATGCAAGAAATCCCGGGGGAAAAGGAAAATCAAGAAAGGAGAAGCAGATGCCCCTTCAGAGAAACAACTTCCTCAGAGCACTTCTTGGGAAGGAACACGTCTGCTAGCCTCCCCAGACAGGTGCAGACTTCTCTCTAACTGAGAGGCAGGAGGATTCGGCATTAAGGTGTAGATTTTGGAGTCCAAAGGCCAAGTGAGGAATGTGCCTGTGACCAATCTATAGCTCAAACCACCGGCCGGTAACTCTTACTCCTCCGTACCTGGTCTTTACATCTGTGAAAAGGGAGAAGCCACATCTATTTCAGGGGCTGTGTGATGGTTATTTTTGTGTGTCAACTTGTCTGGGTTGTAGTCCCCACACGTCTCCTCAAAAACTCATCTATGTCTTGGCATGAAGGTGATTCATAAATGTTGTTAACTTCGAAAATCAATTGACTTTAAGTCAAGAAGGTTGCTTTTAATAATGTGTGTGGGCCTCATCCAAGCAGTGGAAGACCTTAAGAGTAAAAACTGAAGTTTCACGGCGAAGAAATTCTGTCTCAATATTAGAGCATCAAGTGCTGCCTGAAACTCTAGCCTGCTGACCTGTGACCAGGCTCCACAATTGTGTAAACCAATTCCTTAAAATAAATCTTGTCTTTCTCTGTCTTTGTCTCTTTCCATGAATAGACAGATAGATGGAAAGTCTGTTTCTCTGGAGAAGACTGACTGGTATGGTTGCTTGGTGATTGAGATAACACACACGTACTGGACATGTCCCGTAGTCCACTCCACTGTGTGTAGCCTGCATAAGGGGGAGCCAGCCTGTCCATGGGCTCTGGTGATTAAGAGATCACATTTTGCCCCCACCTTCCCTCTTGACTGCAGACCACAGCTGTTGGGAAGAGGCAGTGGTTGGCACCTGAACTAAAGGCAGCCAATCATGGTCTGGACTGATCTAATCCAAAAAGATGAGTCAGGTCAAATAGTTTTCTGTTCTTAGGAGCTTGAATAGGAACTTAAAAAAAGAATTCACCAGTTGATAAACAAGTCAGGTCAATGGTGAATCATTTGAAAAGATGCATAGCTGGCAGTTGTGGAATAGGACTTATCTTATTCAATCCATATTATGTTTTGCATTTTTGTGAATCTGTTACCAATATTTAGAATATGGGAGATTTTACATAATTCTAGCTTTCTGGCTTCTCTTTAAAAGCCATAAACTCTGCAACACAGGATCTGAGTAGTTTCAATCAGCAAGAGTTGGAATGCAATTGCCTTTTTACATGGATCACATGTTCTCCCAACTACCAGCCTCCACCATGCCCTACAGTGCTCTATCCAGCCAGCCTCATCTTTATGTTACCTGCCAGGCAAATGTAGGTATTTGCACTCGCTACCCGTGAGTTAGATGGAAAGTCCCTGGATCAGTGCTTCTTAGAAATCAGAGTCTCCTTGAATTCGGAGCCACCTACAGCTCCAGATTTTAGAATCCAAACCTTAATGTGTTTCCTGTGCCAGAATTTCCATGCTGCTCCTCCGGCTCTTCTATATGGAGCCTTACAAATCCTCTGTACTCAAACTAGCATGAATGGGTGTCTCCTTCTTGCACTATCAAAAGTCCCATGTAGAAATAGGGATGACCATGAAAACTGTCCCCTTCTCAGCTCTCTGATGCTGTGGTGTCACAATGAGCACTGAGGTGGACTCCAGCCTACATTGATTGATGATGGAAAAGAACTGTGATCCTGGGATCAACTAGGCACCAGAGCTGGGCCACTTTTGCCAGGAGAGATCCAGGATGAGAGCGACCGCTAGCTGGCTCATTGCCAACAGTTGGAACAATACCAAGGTAACTGCTATGAGGTGCCTACCTGAGGTTCCCTAGAACCAGTGCAAGTATGACATATTTGGATCCTCTGGTTATTTAAGGAAGTTAAAGATAGTATCCAGCAGGACATTGGGGATGTCGATCCACACCAGCAATGAGACCAGACCTAGCATGGAGACCCCCTGCTGCACTCCAGAAGGGATCTCAAGGCACCCAAGGCAGTAGCTGTGGCGATTGTGAAGGGCACTGGGAAAGGTTATTTATCAACCACTGTTATGGTTGACCCTGTGATGACAGGACTTTAATTCACAGAGTAACCATCCCTGAATGGTCATACTGGATATTGGGGCCTCATTGCTGCTAGTTTGTTGAGAGCACAGCATTGGTGCTGGAGTGGGTTAATGCCGCCAGAGCCCTGAGAATCTTCATTTACTGCTTTGGCAAGGATTTTGGTTCAGAGATATTGGGGGAATCCCAGGGATAGCAGTTTGCTGTCACTGACGCCCAAGATTTCTGCTTATGAGCCACCACCTCAGTGCTCAGTGAGGTTTTTATTCTTGCCTTCTAGATACATCCATAGCAGTGGAGGCATGTGTAGGCCTGGCCCAGACCTGGGCCAGTGGGTGAGAGGAGGACCCCTTGTACATAATCCTCAGCTTGTTTTGACAGTGGGAATCTCCTCAACATCAAGTTTTCAATCAATAGCTCGAGTACGGAGCATGATTATCTTAGAAAAGCGGAAAACAGAGCAGTTCTCTTGACATTTTCCATGACTGGGTGGGTGATAAACCACCATGTGTACCTGAATTGGGTCTCTCTCATTTGAAAACAAGTTTTAAAATTCAGATTACTCTCTGAATCTAGAATAACTTTACATTCAAGGTGGAGAACTTGAAGAAGACTTCAGAGAACAAAGAAAAGCATAAATACTAAGGTTACCTGATGGTGGAGCACACTGCAGTGCTGAGCTGTGATTGCTTCCTCTTGGCTTAGCCCCAGAGCTCAGGAGGCAGGGGAGGGGATCGGTTGATCTCAGATAAAGCTACCTTGCGTTCTCCCACCTGTGGAGCCAGCAACTTAATGTTAATCTGTGAACACCCAGTAGCCTGCACCATGTGCCAGGGTTTTCTCTAAGCTTTAGAATAATGTTTCACATTCTGCAGCCAGAGAAATTCCTAAAATCTTTCCAACATTGCCTTAAATCAAGCTGATCCTTTCAGGAAGCCACCTTGGTCTCTCCCTAGAGGCAGCGGTGATTAATTCCTTTCATGTTGTCACACAAAGTCAGTTGTTCTTTTTAAATCAGAGTGGCCCTAGTGTGTGTCCCCCATGCCAGCCCAGCATACCCAGGACTAAGTCTGGAAGGCCAGCTGCTTCTCTCCTAACTCACCCCTTTGTCTGGCACCTCTCCCAGACTCAATGGGGAGACCCCATGACTTCGACATCTCCCTCAACCAGCTCCAACACTCATTTCAGCTTGGCCAGCTAGCATGAGCTTCTGAGATACGCTTGAACTAAGCCGCTCATGGAACACTTCTCCCAGGAGAAGAACATCTTTTCTGTTCTACATGCCTGTGGCCCCGGAGTCAGGATCTAATCCAAACAAACTCCCGCAAGTCCTGCTTAATCCTCCAAATTACTTTCTTCTGACAATAAGCCTCTTCTATGTACCTGCTGTGTTCCAGGTCCAGCGTGGGTGTGGGGGAGGATGTCTGCTGATTAAGACGGGTCCACCATCAAGGAATCAAAAGGTCTTGGAATGTGAGAACAGAAAAAGGCAGGACTGTCATTATCCTCTGTTATCCTGAGGAAGGGACAATGTGGGAACATGTCTTGTTTCTCCAGGTTTCCACTGTTAGCATGAAAGCCCAATCCAGAACACATTTCTTTGGATTCTTTGGCCAGGTCTTTGATAATCTACCATGAAAGGGTAAACTTTAGGTTTCCCTCTTCACTTTGGGTGAAGAGGGCTGGGCAGGGCTGAATTAAATTGGAGAGTATAGACCCCTCTAGAGGTAACCCCTACTTCACAAACTTCCCTACTTCTTCCAGGCTATGCACCCTGCAGGTGGTCCCAGAGGAAGATGAATAAAGTCTGGCTAAACCCTGTCCCTTAGATCTGCTTGGTTAAACACCTTAATAACTAAAGCTTCTTAGGGGCCTCCCCAGTGGCGCAGCTGTTGAGCACTGGGTTGCGAAGCTGCCCGGCAGCCTCTGCGGCGCCGGTTCGATCCCCGGCTGCTACCCGGCCACCGGAGGAGGGTCCCACATGGCACGCAGACCTCTCCTGCTGCCTGCTGCTCCCCTCAGCAGTGTATTTCGGTCCCTCTGCCTGCTCTGCTCCCCGCTCTGGCTCTGGTGAATTCTCTCCCCTCCTGCGCTTCTGACTGTACCCAGTGCTTGTATACATAAATAAATAAATCTTTAAAAAAAATACTAAAAAAATAAAAAAATAACTAAAGCTTCTTCAATGCCCTTTGCATGTCCTAGCAGAGAGGTTCGATTTCAACGTACATAAGAATTGAGGTGGGGTCAAAATCAGGGGGTTGCAATTGCATGGGGAATATAAAAATAATATAAAATAAAATAAAGAATTGAGGTGGGGGGAAGGTTACACTGTGGATTCCTGGACCTTCCTGGGAGATCCTGAGCCAGAACCAGTGGCTGACACCACTGCTGGTGAAAGTTACTGAGGGATTGGACAGAGCACTGGACTAGTCACTAGTCTGGGAATCCGAAGCTGGATGACTGGCCCAGCTGGGTGATTTCTCCCCTCGTGTGTTATTACATAAGGAGGTTGGATGGGAAAATCCCAAAGGACTTTCTGTTCTGACATCCCAGGGGTGTGTCACATAAGGAGACTTTTTGTTTGACTGAACGGACAGACACAGAGTTGGGGCATCGGTCACACTTCATTCCCCTTGCAAAATGCTCCATGGATAGTACAGCCTCCTACAGGTGAAACTGGAGAGGCCTTCTTGCCCCATAGGAACATCCTAGGTCTACTGACAACTTCTTAACATGTCTGCCCTTCCCAAGAGACCCTGAGAACAGCCCAGACTGGGACTCGGGGTCTGAGTGGGTGGGGTCCTCCAGACTCAATTTTTTGTGTCCTCTTTCCCCACTGACATGTCTCTTCTGAGGATTCTCATTCATACGCCTAGGAGGGGATGAGCTCATAGACACAAAACACATGATCTTCTCAGGGCTGAAAACAGAAGGGGCCCTGGGTAGTCAACTCTAGACCAGAGTGGAGGGGTGGAGCTAGCTTGCCTGTCCAGCTCCATGGAACTGGGGGCTCCATGAAGGGTCTAGAACTCAGTTCCAATCCCAGAACTCAGTACCAATCCTGACTCTCACCAGCTTACACACCCCTAGGATGTCAGAGAAGTGACCCAGCTCCTCTGAGCCTCTGAGTTTCCTCCTCTCAAAAAACCAAATGGGAAAAATCAAGTTTACCCACAGGGCTGTCGTGAGAATGAAATCTGAGTACATAGATAGAGCATCTGACACTTTTACAAGGGTTCAGCAATCCTTGTCTGTCCCCTCCACCTACATTTCTTTCTTGTCACTATCCTCTGCTTGGAGGAAGGTGTCACTGCCGAATCTCTTCAGCCTTAGGAGTCCTCCAGATAGGATGGGAGGTGGAGGACGCCTCCTCTTTTTAGTGTTATTGAAAAATATTCAAAAGAAACCTTTACTCCGAAAGCAACTCTGGGGAAACAAAGGGAAGTGAACAAAGCAAATATAAATCCATAAAATGAAATGCAGATTACAGCTCCTACCAGAGTCTCTGACAAGCCCCCACTGCTCCCAGGACAATGGAACCCTCTGGAGCTTCAGTTGTTCCTGGCTGAAAATTGAAGGTCTGTCCCTCCCGTGGGGCCTCCTCTGCTTCTGGGCTGTTTTCTTAGCCCAGGAGGGTGGGAGGTGCAGGAGGTGGAGGCTCCGAAAGCACTTTGCAACTCTTCCCTGCTTCTATGGCTCCTGGCCCAACCCACACATACCCTTCCCACACCCCCCACTCTACTGGCAGCCCCTGAAGGACCAGAACCACAGACGAGACGCGTGGAGCTACACAAAGCCTGTCACGACTCGGAGCTTGGGGGACTCACCCTACCGGGCTGAACAACAGCAGAAGCAGGAGGCTGATGGCGCTGCCTTTCCTGTATCTGGGCCAAGCTGTAAACAAGGGCTGCTGGGGCTGAGAAAGGAGAACAGGAGTATCAGCTCCTGTGCTGGAATCCCCAGCTCATAGCCCACCTCCCTACTCACTCCTGGGAGGGTGGGTTGGGGGCCTTGGAGGGCAGGCTCCTTGCTGCAGTCACCTCAAGGATAGGAGAGCCCTCCCCTCAGCTGACTGGGACTGAAGGAAGAGGACCGCTTGCCCAGTGCTCCCAACCAGACAAACAGCAAGACAAGGAGAGGCAGCTGCTTTGCTGGCACAGTAAGGGTTAAGTAGGGCCTCCTGGGCCCAGACCTGAGAAGGATGGGCTCAGGGAGCTGGAAAACTTGCCAGTGAGTGATTTTCAGCAGCTGAGGGTGCTTAGCAGGGAGAAAGAAACCTGGGGGCATCTGGGTTTACAGATGTGAGGGTCCACCTTGGGAAGAGGAATTTGCCATAGTTATAGGTCTTTTCAGAATGAGAACAGAATGAGAGCTGGGAGGGTAGAAGTTGCAGAAAGAACATTTTGCCACAGGTACTGTTGACAAAGGAGTAAGCCCTACACTGAAACCGTTGCAGGGCTGATCTCTTTAGACTGTTGAAGAGAGATTCTGCAAGTCCTCACATTAAGTCCTCCCTAGGGTCCCCAGTAGGATCTTGACAACTGCAAGTTTAAGCGAAACCACATATAATAAAACCAGGTCCTTGAAGAGTATCTTTTTATTAGTTGGCTGGGATTTCTTTTCTCCTCATCATGTTATAATGAAATGACACGGGACGAAATGCTGCCATCTGAGGCCCTGCTATTTACTGCTGATGGCATATGAGGTCCGAAGGGCCTAGTGCGCCCTCGTCAATAATCTGAACAAGTTAGTGATATACAAGGCTGGTTTCAGCACGTATGTGTGAGCTTCCCAATCAGAACATAAAAACCAGCATCTCAAGGAGTAAACTTCCAGACCCATTCCCTTGAACATCGACGCTGAACTTTTAGGGCTTGTCCTGGCAAGTCTAGCTCTCAGCTCACAGGTGTCTATTTATAGTCTATTTGTAGCCAAAGCCTGTCTGGGCCTCCCTGAGTCTGGGGAACGTGCTGCTGGATTACAAGGTTGTAATCATGCCCTTGCCTGCGGGAACATGGCAGTCTCACTCTGCCAGAGGCAGAAGAGAAGGCATCCCTTTTGTGTCAGGCTCTGGTCTTAAGACATTGCTGTCTAGTGAGTGGGCTGAGACCAGAAATGCTTCAGTGCACCCCATTCAAGACAGTGCCGGGGAGCCAAATCAGAGAGATTGCAGTTCCTCCTCATTATTCCCATGAATGACACGTTCACATCACCTGCAATTGACCTAAACCACCTCCTGTGCAGCCTGGAACAAGGGGATAGTTCGCTTCAGATGCCAACCAACCCCAGACCTGGGTGATGCCTCTTCCTCCTATAAACCACTGGTGTGCTCTCACTTAGCTTATGTAGGAGGACATTAGTATAGGCCCCCAGGAGGACTGGTAGCGCAGAAAGCACCCCCAAGGGTGGTCTACAAGTTCCTCTGAGTAGCCTCAGGAACTGAACTGAGCCTTTTGGGAGACATTGGGGTGTAGAGCCCTGTACTCCCAGCTGAGTGTACAAGCTCAGGTTGGGGCCACATGACTCACAGTGGTGAACAGAGAATGTCCTAGAATGTCCTTGAAATGACTCAAGAGCCAGCAGGGTGATGTGACTTCCAATAAGCTTATCCAGTGATGCCTGGAATGTCAGGGCAGCTCTGTGTTCCCCACTGAGGCTCATCAACACCAGAAGCAGAAGGAAAATTGGAACAAGAGCCAGAGAAGATTCAGGTGGGTGGGAAGAGTGAGGTGGGCTGCTAGCTAGAGACTGTCACATCCAAGAGGGGTTGGAATTTATTTGCGTCTGAGGACAAAAGTAAAAGCAGTGGGCAGAGAAGTTCTAGGACAGCAGACTCGGATTAGAATAGGGAAAATCTTTTTAAACAGCAGTGCAGCAGTGAAGTGGGCAGGCTGTGGGAGGCTCGGAGGAAAGTGGACCAGAATTGGCCTCGGGGACCAGCCACCTGGCCCTAATCCCCAACCTGGTGAATGGGCTGAGTGTCCTTGGCAAGTTCCTTAGCCTCTTTGTACTCATCTGTAAAGTAGAGGAAATAGCAAGACCTACTTCCTAGGGCCATCGTGAAGGCTAGGTGTCAATGTTTGCAACAGGCATACATATATGTACAGAAGTGTTAGGTATACACAAGGATTTTGTTGCTGGGTGGAATCTGGGCTGGAAGACAAGTGACAGGAATGCTAGTGGCCATTCCTGCACCAGGGAGGAGATTGGACCAGACCATGCTGCAGAGAACAGAGTGTAGGCTTTGCTGATAGATGGATCTGTTTCATGCCACATACAGACCCCTGTGACCTCAGATGCACCACAGAATCTCTGCATCTCAATTTTCACATTCATAAATGAGGCTGATGTTTCTCACAGCATTTCTCAAGGATTGAATAATCATATATATAGATGACTGCCTCATGATTTTTGTGTTTGTGGGTATTTTTAAAATCTCAAAAATGAATAATGATGA